AGAAAAAACTCTTACTTTGATCAAATTATTATTTCGTTTACTACAATGAGCATTTTTTATTATTATGTTTGTTAACAAACATACAAAAAACTGAAGAAAAGGGAAGAACATTGATGTCAAACGAATATGTATCTTCATTCATCCTGATTTTTTTGTGTGAGATCTCCGTCTTTTAGTCTATAAACTACGTGTTGTGGTCTTTCTTTTATGTATTGCGTCTGGAGCATCTCGTTTCAATGGCCAGCAGTAATCAGCCATCATGCTGATGTTTCACCTTCCCTATCTCCTCTCCATTTCCCTGATGTCTTGATGAAACCTTTCCCCTTGTTCTTCGCTGACGACACCGATATTTTCAGGAAAAGCAATATGTGAGTGTAAGGAATGAACTTTCAAGCTCATATTACAACCCAGATCTTTGAATTTATCGAGCATGTTATTGACAATATTTTCGTAATTTGGGTCCTTGTTGTTTCCTAAAAAATTGTCAATAACATCTTTAAAGGCAATCCACATTTCCTTTTTCAACTTTCTTCATTGTCCTTTCGAACTGTTCATCCGAAGTCAATTTCCTAATCTGAAGCCCAACATTAATTAATCCCTCCTTTAAGCCTAGTTTTATGTGAAGTGGAGGTAATTGGACTTTCTTTGTGTCAGCGCTTTTTTGACGAATTCTGTTATGTTTTGCCTTTGTTTCTTTACAACAAATTTACCACAAATATAACAAAATATGTTTGGGTCATTTGCACAACCTCTTATTGCCATAGTGACAAGTAAAGAATATTGAAAAGAAAAAGTAATATCAAAGTGCACGCGCAAACAAATACTATCCAGAAATGACACGTCATGTGGCCTGTTAACCGTTTATATACTAGCGGTGTGTTTCTCGTGGGTTCTAGAACAATCGATATGACTCTCACGTTGCGATTGGTCTAGAGAAATCTTTAGCCAGTGGTTGTCAACACTTTAAACATAACAAAATGTGACCCTATTTCAATAAATATGATTCATTTATGTAAAAGTACATATGACGTTTTGTGAAAAAACATGTGAACATTATCGAATTCAGTGCATAGGAATTAGTGTAGAACATGTAAACATTTCAAGAAAATAAAACCATCGCAGGCCTGTGTATTAAGATGTTTGGTTTGGGTTTTTTTTCAAATACTCCTACTCTAGAAATGTATTTTTGGATGTTATTTTCCGAAGCCTCCTATACAAGGCACGTATTTCTGATTTTGTTTTCCACACACAAGTATTAAAATGCACGAAAATTTAACTTGGTACCTTTTATTTTTCAAAGTAACACAGTATCCATCTAAGCCATTTTTTTTTCTATGGCAAAAAAATTCTAAAATATCTACATACTGGTATGTTTGTATTAACATCTGACTTTTAAAAAAGGTAGTTGTTCATTCAGTTCCATTGAAACTACACAATATTCATTTAAGGAAAAAGGATAGACATTTTAGACGGATACATAAAATTTGTTTAGCCATAAGAAAGACAACTATACATTGGATGAGATAATAAGATGGAAAAGGAACTGTTTGATGTATAGAATCAGAACATTTTTCGTCTTCAATCGATCCCAACATGAGTGTGCGACAACTAAATAGAAACTTTTGTCTACTAAAACACCATTTTATACTGAGTTGATATTTTACGTCAACAGGAGAGCCAGGCATACCTTAAACCTGCCCCACAACTTCTGGCTTTCTCAAGTAAGCATTGATTGGTCATCCAAACAAGCACGTGCTGCCGGAAGGCATGAACTACCTTTTATAGTCATAAGAACTAGCCTACGCTTTCGAACGACTAAAAAGAAACCACCACAAGGGGTCCCAGAACTCCCCTCTTCAGTACCTGTACGGTTCGTTGACTAAACTTATCTCAACCCCTCATACACTTAGTTAACAAACCGGTTTGTACAGACCTTGCCGCTAGGGGTCAGCACTGTTGACGAAGTGTGCAGGCACAAGAGACTGGTCATATGGTATTTGCTTCAAAGTGCGGGTCGACAAAACAGTTGTAGCGGGTGTACACACTTTTGTTGAATCTGGAATTAGGCCAAAGTATCTACAGGTGTGATGATTTCTTGATTTTCGTTCCGAAAACACTTTTTCTGTTCCGTATCAGGCAAAGTGGAGGTGCGAGTTTCACAGCCCGAGGAGTGCTGTCACATTTGGTAAGTAAAAGTCGTTGTATATAGGTTATATCGGCAGTGGGACACGACTTTCATAACCTCTTACACTTACACTGCCACAGACACAGGTAAATTAGGCACAAGTATTCACGGATGTCAGAAATGTTAAGTCCAACGTAGATGCAAAGTTAATAATCATCCCAAGTCACGACCGTAGTCGAACTACGAGAGAATTATATTAACGTGCTCTATTCGTAATGTATTATTATCATTCAGAGGAATTCCCTATCTTTAAAACCTCACATCACTATGGAAATTAAACTTTAAAAACATATACCTGAAAAGAAAAAAACAACAACAAAGAAACATTACTTTATGGCAAATCATGCATTGCAACTAATAACATAGGCTTAAAAAAGTTAAATTATGCAGTTCCCTTACAACCAGTAGATATAGATTTGTAGTTTTTGTTTTTTAATTTATTATTTACTCATTTTACTAATAACATAAAATGAATAGAGATGGCGATTTCATCGTCTGTTTATGAATTGCTCAGTCTGTTTATGAGTTACTCAGTCTGTTTATGAATTGCTCAATCTGTTTATGAATTACTCAGTCTGTTTATGAATTGCTCATCATCTTTATAACAAGAACAATAATCAAAGCTAGAATGAATAATCATAAGTGTCTTAGTACGAAAAATGCCCCTCAGCGGTGAGCTCGAATACTTATAACACTAAAATTCGAGGTTCTATCCCTGCAGTGGGTATGGTCCCGATAACTAGTTGTGCAGTTTTGTATCTAACACACATGAAACAGAAAAAAACTACGACACACGTTTTAAATAAAAGGTACATAAGGTAATCTTAAAACAACAACATATTTTAATGTGATAGTTATATTTTGTAAGCTCGAAAGGGTAAAGACATGTTAATATAATAGCTGCTAATATTTTTTTAGCTGTTTTATTGGGCCCCCCAGTGGCACAGCGGTATGTCTGCTAGAATCCGGGTTTCGATACCCGTGGTGGGCAGAGCACAGATAGCCCATTGTGTAGCTTTGTGCTTAATTACAAATAAACAATAAACTCTTTTATTGGCGCAATCTGGTAAAAATATTGCATGATAATATATCAATTATAGACAATCTATCATGAATCTTGATGGTTTTTAAATAACAAAACTAATCAGACCGACTGGACTGCAAGAACACATTCAGTCTTGATCTGTTTGTTTGTTTGTAATTAAGCACAAAGCTACACAATGGGCTATCTGTGCTCTGCCCACAACGGGTATCGAAACCCGGATTCTAGCGTTGTAAGTCCGCAGACACACCGCTGTGCTATTGGGGGGGGGGGGGTGGCTCAGTCTTAGACAAAACGATATTTTAATTTATGACAGTCACGTACGAAACATTAAGTCGTTGATGTATATGGTCAAAACTGGGAATCATTATTTCTGCTTAGAATGTAAAGTGTTAAAATGTCATTGTTTTTATGGAAAAAGGGTTAACTTATTTGTTACAGTCCCCAAAACGGGTTTCCAATCAGAAGAGTTATGTAATAGCGTTACACCTATACACTTCTCTACTTATTTGTAGACGAAATCTGACGCTCACAAAACTCAACAGGCTGACTGGATTTCAGCACTGAGACTCTAGATCCTGAGAAAGATATGACAACGTCAAACTGCAACAAGTGAGACACTAGGCCACATTTTTAGGTTAGAAATTTTTACGTCTGTACTTGTGGTTATTTGTAATGTTTTCACTTTACTATTCCTCTTGAAACGTGTTTTTTTTTTTCTTAATGATGCTCACTTCAGTTGCTACAATAGAAACGACAAAATGATAAAAGAATTACCCTGATACATCTTTAAAAGTATTGAATTTGCACCTAGGCCTAGAGGACTTTTTTTCCGTCAGCAATTAATGGTAGCTTGTCGAAGTTTATAAACACTTAAATAAATACTGCATGTCTGTTTGATTACATCGAAAAATACGATGATCACTTACTGTAAAAAAAGTCATTGTTTATTGGCCTTATTGAACGTAATTATCAGCGGCTCAACTAAAGTAATGGCCAGATGTGTCTCTGCTGACACCTCGTGGAGAGAAATATTCTATAGTACTGTAGATACATTTTCAGTATAATTCAATAATCTAATTGGAAATTCATATTCACAGTGTTTGTCAAACACAATTATTTTTTTTAATATAAAAAGTAACGTATAATTATTTATAAAAAATAATAAGCGTATTTATACTACCTTATTGGTTGTGTTATAACCATAATTTCAAAGAAAGATGTATCAATGTCTTAAGTGTTTAGCGTTTTTAAATCTACTGGACTTTCTCTCTCTCTCTCCTCCTGACAGGAATTTAGGTCTTTGTGACCTAGGAGGGTCAGGTGCTCTGAGACCTCTTCCCCCCCCCCCTCTGGACTTTCTTTACAAACCTTTTCTTTAAATCGTTTCTACCGCCAAACGGCGTAAATTCTTTGTTTAGTTGTTGTTGTTGTTTTCAAATTCATTAGCTATCTACTTAATTATGTGAGTTCTGGTGGTTGTTAACTATAATTATTCTACAATTAACGCTTTAATGTACGTTTATTTGAAAGAAATTCCACTTAAAATAATGTTCTAAGTTTAAAGCTTTCTGTCGTTATATATAGAAGTAAAACCTTGAAAAGCACATTTATTGTAAATAGATAATCAGCGTCTGGAAAACAATAACAGCTGAATACACAAAAGTTTATTTTAATACCATATAGCGGGACATCAAGTTAGATCTAATTTCTTTGAGATATCCCCTTGTGTAACTTTGTGCTTAACTTCAAAAAACAAACAAACAGACTGATTTATTTTTACTTATTATGCGTAAGACGTACTTTCTCTGCATGAGTGATCTTCTTATACAAATATAAGTAAAATTATTGTCTTGTAGGCGTGACTAAAAACCGAGTGATATTACCTTAATACATCGCTTAATTATAATTTCTGCTGTTTTCATCAGGACAACCATGTAAAAACAAAACCACAACCATATCTAACAAGCTTCCATTCTGAAGTTTATGGATGGCCGTGCTTTATATTTTTTTTTAACTTCAGTCTAGGCTATTAACTTGTAGTCTCTTTTCACTATCTCTGAAAAAATTGAAAATGGGATTTAGGCTGTTCATCAGAGTAAGAAAGTATTAGCTCCTGCTGAAAATAAAAGAAACAGTTTAAAATGGAGAGTATTCGATTTTCGGGAAAAATAAAAGCAACAGGGCGACTATTCTGATACGCTAAGACTGTCCTATTAAGGACATGGAGAGCATTGTGACGTACGTTGTTCACCTTATGACGTAATATTCGCAATAATAATAAAACTCGGCAACGATAAGAATTTATCTTGAAAACTTGTACCTAACACCACTTTTAAGTCGTCAAACTGGGTTCGCATAGCAAGCATTACGTGTGGTGCTTACAATAACTCAGATATTAGATTTCTCTCGTTCTTAAGCTGTGTAAGTATGGTAAGCACTGCGACGGTATAAAGAATACTTTAGATATAAGATCTCTCTTTGTTCTTCAATTAAATCCGTATAACAAACATTACGTGTGGCGCTATACAAAGAAATATATAGTTAAAATCGCACAGACGACAAAGATATCGAAATTAAATAATAGGTTGAACAATCGCCAAGTTTTTTTTTTAGTTTAAAAGGCGCCTTTGTTGTATGCTGTACAATCTGACAAGAGCACTAGCTCGAAACGTCATTCTTCTTTAAATAAAAATATAAAAAAAACTTGGCGATTGTTCAACCTATTATTTAATTTCGATATCTTTGTCGTCTGTGCGATTTTAACTATATATTTCTTTGTATAGCGCCACACGTAATGTTTGTTATACGGATTTAATTGAAGAACAAAGAGAGATCTTATATCTAAAGTATTCT